CGGCGGGGCAATAACTGGAATAGCTTTAGAATAATAGCACGGGGGGGGCATAGGTGACGCCCTTTGAACCACAGACGATTCTGCAGGAAGACCAGCCGGTGGCTCCTCCTCCAGATGCCAGAGTGTGAGGCGGGCGCAGCCGTGACCAGTGGCGGAGAAGGAGAAGGAGAGCGCGGCGCGGGTGGGCGGCGATGGGGAGGAGGAGAAGGAGAAGGAGAGCGCGGCGCGGGTGGGCGGCGATGGGGAGGAGAGAGCCGGTGGGCGGGGGTGATTGTCCTCTCCCACCTCGAGCGGGAGCGGGTCGCTCTGCAGCCGCTCGCTGGCTGCAGCCACGAGCTCGAGCATTCCGAGCGCCTAAGGAGAGGTGAGGTGAGGTACACACACACACACACACACACACACACACACACATACACACACACACACACACACACACACACACACACACACACACACACACACGCACACGCACACGCACACACACACACAGGCATTCCGAGGGCCTGAGGAAAGGTGAGGTGAGGTGCACTTCTCCACACACACGCAAGGCGGTGGGGGAAGAGGCTGGGCATCCCTCGCGACTCCACGTCTAGACGACAGGAGCCCCACGGCAATTAGAAGTGCGAGGCCCGGTGCGCGTGCGTGAGCGGTGTGAGTGTGTGTGTGGGCCTGCGACGCATCGGCAGCCTGCCCCAGCCTCCCCAAGAGCTGCGCCCATCGAGGCGGCAGCAGGTTCCGGAAGAGGTGCTCGCTGCCCCACCTACACGGGGGCGGCACGCAAAGCCGCGTGTCGCTCTCACCCCGCGCTGCAGACTGCCATAGGGTGCTTCGGCGCTGCCTGGGTTGGAGAGCTCCCTCGTCGCTCTTGCACTCCCTGTGCAGCATCGGCAGGTCGAGCGAGCTAGCGCTGTACGTCGGCAGCGAGCCGCGAGACGGCATCGCCGGCGGAGGCTCCTCCGCCTCCTCCCCGTGCTCCGGCTCCCAAACCGGCGTGAGGAGCGACGGCGCCGACTCCACGCGCTTCAGTCGTCCGCTCCCGCCGCGCCTGGGCAGCACGCGATTCAGCAACAGCGCTTGGGACATTTGGTTGGGACAATTAGCTCGGAACGGCGCCCGAGCCCGGACAAAAGAATTTTCACTCCGAATTGGCGCGCACAGTCGCACTAACACAGTCCCCGACGCAAAGAATTTTCAGTGCGCGCCACACTGGTTCTCGAGGTTAGAGGCCGACCGCTTGAATGCCGGCATTCAAGCGCGACAGTGCTAGCCGCCTCCGCGATGCTGAGCGGTGCATGAAGGGCGGCGAGCCGCTGACGATGCGCGAGGCGTCCTTCATCAGCTCGCTGATGGGACACGCCCAGCACATCGACGCGGCCACCGTCCGGTTCACCATGCACATCGACGGCAGCCTCGACGGGCAGATCAACTTGAAGTCCGAGTACACACGGGAGCTGGAGCGCGCGCAGCGCGAGCGAGCGGGCACGTGCGCCGCCGCCGCGCCCGCCGCCGCGCCCGCCGCCGCGCCCGCCGCCGCGTCCGCCGCCGCCCCCGCCGCCGCGCCCGCCGCCGCGCCCGCCGCCGCGTCCGCCGCCTCGCCCGCCGCCGGGCCCGTCGCCGCGCCCGCCGCCGCGCCCGCC